TCTAAATCCCACAGGGATCAACGAACGCTTTTCATTCCACTAATTTATTCTTGTTTTTCTCGTTGCCATGTTCCCACCAATAACGTAGCTCCATTCTCTGCCTTTAAAAGCACACACAACCCACAATTCCTCTATTCGCTCCGACGAAGGGCAACGCTCGAAACGTCAGCTTTTGTAATCGTTACGGTGGCCAATTTACCACTTCAACTTTGTTGATATATCCAAATTATTTCGTTACTCCCACCGACGCAGCCCCAAACAGTTTCTTTCGAAACTATCGATCAGCCTTTATTCATTTGTATTTTTAGTACTTCATGTTACACCCACATAGTGCTCATGATGAACCGATGACTGGTCAAGAAAATCAAAAACGGTTTGTTTTACACTTATTTATTTTTCATTTATATCTAATCATCAACAAAAATACAGAATAGGCCATGTATTTAGTAATCCAAGGACGTTTCTCATCAAACATCTGATATGTTACAATTTTTTTGCGAATATCCCGTATCCCTGAAACTACTTCTCAATATCCTGTATCCCATTAACTTTTTCCTCAAATATCCCGTATCCCGGTAATTTTTTCCGCGAATATCCCGTATCCCGAAAACCCCTAACAGGGCCTCAAGGTACTAACCTATTCTATTACTGGCAGCTTTTTAAGCTTAATATGTGAAATACGTGAAAACCTGTTTGTGCCGATTACGGTTTCATTCAATAACCTTTCACCAGAGGCAAATGCGCTGACACTAAAACAGAAACCTACCGTTTCCCACTTGTTTATGAGTACCTTGCTCCACAAAATAGAGATGATTCAAAAATATATTGTCTAATTGACATTCAACCAATAATTAAATGGTAACTAGCGCGGGTGTGTGAAAACAGGTTTTTGCCTTCACAAATGTTATAATCGATTACGACCCATTCGGGGAGTGTCAGTGAAGTATTACCTTGTATTGTAACAAATAATTATTTTAACAATTATATTGAAGATAACAAGAGTAATTCTTCTTTACTGTGAGGAGCGTGCACAAATAAGAGTAATTCTATTGCTACACTTGTGTCATGAGCCACAAAAATGTCTTCAAAGCTTATCCTTGTATTGTAAGAAATATGATACAACTTTTTTCAGAGACATGTTTCGGCATGCTTATGCCATCTTCAATCAATGAGTAACTGAACGTGAGTAATTATATAACAGACAAGTAGATGAATGAAATATTTACAGAATGATGTAATACAAAAGCGGGTACTAATTACAGCTTGACAACAAACATGAAATTAAACAACAACAAACATATGAAACATATGTATGAACTGCGGTTATGAAACGTATATGTGCACGATCCTTCGCAGTAAAGCACTATTTGAGCAATAGTGAAAATCAGACCTGAAAAAAATTTCAGGCCTGTACGGGATTCGAACCACTGACCTCTGCGATACTAGTGCAGCGCTCTACCAATTGAGCTAACAAGCCAACTGGGAGCAGGCCATCAAATTAATTCGACATAAACCCGTAGATGATAAATCAAACAACAACAAACATATGAAACATATGTATGAACTGCGGTTATGAAACGTATATGTGCACGATCCTTCGCAGTAAAGCACTATTTGAGCAATAGTGAAAATCAGACCTGAAAAAAATTTCAGGCCTGTACGGGATTCGAACCACTGACCTCTGCGATACTAGTGCAGCGCTCTACCAATTGAGCTAACAAGCCAACTGGGAGCAGGCCATCAAATTAATTCGACATAAACCCGTAGATGATAAATCAAACAACAACAAACATATGAAACATATGTATGAACTGCGGTTATGAAACGTATATGTGCACGATCCTTCGCAGTAAAGCACTATTTGAGCAATAGTGAAAATCAGACCTGAAAAAAATTTCAGGCCTGTACGGGATTCGAACCACTGACCTCTGCGATACTAGTGCAGCGCTCTACCAATTGAGCTAACAAGCCAACTGGGAGCAGGCCATCAAATTAATTCGACATAAACCCGTAGATGATAAATCAAACAACAACAAACATATGAAACATATGTATGAACTGCGGTTATGAAACGTATATGTGCACGATCCTTCGCAGTAAAGCACTATTTGAGCAATAGTGAAAATCAGACCTGAAAAAAATTTCAGGCCTGTACGGGATTCGAACCACTGACCTCTGCGATACTAGTGCAGCGCTCTACCAATTGAGCTAACAAGCCAACTGGGAGCAGGCCATCAAATTAATTCGACATAAACCCGTAGATGATAAATCAAACAACAACAAACATATGAAACATATGTATGAACTGCGGTTATGAAACGTATATGTGCACGATCCTTCGCAGTAAAGCACTATTTGAGCAATAGTGAAAATCAGACCTGAAAAAAATTTCAGGCCTGTACGGGATTCGAACCACTGACCTCTGCGATACTAGTGCAGCGCTCTACCAATTGAGCTAACAAGCCAACTGGGAGCAGGCCATCAAATTAATTCGACATAAACCCGTAGATGATAAATCAAACAACAACAAACATATGAAACATATGTATGAACTGCGGTTATGAAACGTATATGTGCACGATCCTTCGCAGTAAAGCACTATTTGAGCAATAGTGAAAATCAGACCTGAAAAAAATTTCAGGCCTGTACGGGATTCGAACCACTGACCTCTGCGATACTAGTGCAGCGCTCTACCAATTGAGCTAACAAGCCAACTGGGAGCAGGCCATCAAATTAATTCGACATAAACCCGTAGATGATAAATCAAACAACAACAAACATATGAAACATATGTATGAACTGCGGTTATGAAACGGGGGTAACTCAGTGCAGACTTTTTCGACTTCAGCGGCTGCCACTACCTGGTCGTAGGTGATCGCCTTTCTGGCTGGGTGGAAGTCCTAAGTTCAACAGCTGGGACCACCCTCGCGGGTTCAGCCGGCCTGGTTTGCCATCTCCGTTCCTTCTTGGCCACCTTCGGCGTCCTGGAGGAGATCTCGAGTGACGGCGGCCCAGAGTTCACCGCTATGAGCACACAGGATTTCCTACTCCTCTGGGGCGTACGACACTGTGTGTCCTCCGTCAGCTTCCCTGAATCAAACGGCAGAGCGGAAGTCGCAGTGAAAACTGCCAAGCGACTCCTGATGTCCAACACAGGCCCGACAGGCAGCCTCGACCACGATCGTTTCTTGTGTGCCATATTACAGCTACGCAATACCCCAGACCCAGACTGCAACCTGTCACCGGGGCAAATCATCTATGGTTGCCCCCTAAGGGACTCCCTCTCATTCGTAAACTGCCTTGAGAAGTTCTCGAACCCGCACATCAGACCCCTTTGGCATCAAGCATGGGAGGCCAAGGAGGAAGCCCTTCGCGCACGCATCACTCGCACAACAGAGTCTCTGACAGCCCACTCACGCCGCCTCCGCCCTCTGTCCCTTGGTGAGAGAGTCTTCTTGCAGAATCAACAAGGCCCCAACCCCACCAAATGGGACCGGTCAGGGGTAGTGAGAGAATCAGCCGGCCATGACCAATATCGTGTCAAGGTGGACGGCTCCGGACGAATCACACTACGCAACCGCCGCTTCCTGCGAGCCTATACACCAGCCACGCCCTCTATCCGCCCACCACCGCCACCTGCCCACCAGCTCACCAGCAGTGCTGCCCAGTGCCCACACCCACAGCCCACCCTGCCACCACAACCTTATACTGAGTCCAACCAAACCACTGAAGCAAAGCTCAATGTACCAACTGCGGTCCCCGACCCAGCACCGATGTTGCCCCTCGCCCCGGCACAGGATACCAGCCCCGTTCCCGACATACAGTCCCGAGACCCCCAGTTACCAGTAGCTGCTGTTGACAATTCCACAACGCCCATTACTTCACCTCAACCGCCGCCCGAACCAGCTACACGGCCACCCAAACGGTACGAACCCGAAGCAGGACAATGGGTCACTTGAGTCCTACAACCGACGCGATACGTTGTACCCTTCTCGGTTCTTACTCGGTTACTCGGTTTTCTTACTCGGTTGCTTACTCTTTTGTTACGAGAGAATGTCTTTTGAGAGCGAGGTATTGTTGGTATTAGATTGATTGCGAAATATTTTGATGGTTTGGCAGGTTTGTGCTCTTTACTACAGAATGTATTTTGCGAACGAGGTATTATTGGTATTAGATTAATTGCGATATATTTTGAGGGTTTGGCAGGTGTGTGGTCTTTGGGTGTCTGTACAATTTATTTGGGGCTTGACTTTAGCAATTTACAATTTATACTATATACAATTTATACTATATACAATTTATACACATATAATTGATTGACTTTGGCAATATACACTATTTACACAACATACACAATATACAATTGATTCTAGGCTTGACTTTGGCAATATACACTGTATACACAATATACAATTGACTCTAGGCTTGACTTTGGCAATATACACTAAAAACACAATGTGCGGTTCCAGAAAATATCCATACCCCCCACGGAAGGGATCAGATTTTCCAGGGGGGAGGGAGGGTGACCATAGGGAAATATTTCCAGAGGGTTCTTGTGGCGCATAAGAGAGTAACAAAGAAAAAACACACAAATTTACCGTGACAATTTAGTTCCAAAGATATAAAATACATGCGATTAATGACCTGCTTGAAACTTTTATAAGAACATCAATTTCATGTTCAGTCAACCTCTTTCATCCTTCAAAGCAGAAGTGATTTATGACCTACTTGAAACTAGTTTAAAAACATCGATTTTATGTTCAGTTAACCTCTCATATCCTTCAAAGCACGAGCGATTATGGAAGAGAACCTCCGGATATAACGAAACCCCGTTTTAGCGAGCATATTTTCCCAGTCCCTTGGCCCTTCGTTATATTAAGGTTCCACTATGTTCATCTACAAAATAAAACGTTTCACGCGATCGGAATGGTAGTGATTAGTTACCGCACTGCGGCTTGAACAATTAATACCTGTTATTCGAGCTGCTGAACCCTTTGCTACCGCCATCACAAGTATATTAGATGGCTACCGCCATCACAAGTATATTAGATGGCTACCGCCATCACAAGTATATTAGATGGCTACCGCCATCACAAGTAGAAGGACTGCTTGGAGAACAGCAGAGGCTCCTGAAGTATGAGAATAATGCAGTCAAAATTGTAAAAAAGGAAATGATCTTTAGTTATCCTTTAGTTTCAAATTATGATAAACGAGTAATGAATGATAAAGAGAACTCTCTGCTGCAAGCAGATGTAATATCCCTATAAGACTTTTAATGAATCAGCATTTCCCTGCATCAGAAACCTAAAACATAAATATAAACTTAAAAACATAAAGCTACCTGCTTCACTTTTAAATCCTCTGTTCCTTTTTTCCTTAGATTTCAATTCTGGTAGTTGCAAGCCCCGGATATTCGAGAGTGTATATAGCACTGAAGGTTTGGCCTCTGTCAAAAAGGAAGAACTTCGAGTTAAAGTTAGGGTTTTTTCCACATTGCCGATGGAACTTAACAATAATGTAAAATGCAATTTTCGAGCTCGAAATTTTCCTTTGCACACCGTTTAGGCTTAGAAAAAATTGAAATAGTTGACTTCTTGACAACAACAGTGAAAAGCAGAAAACACAAAATATGGCGATGGTATGAGGAAGGTTTTTTTTTTTTTTTAGTTTTCCTCCTTCGCTTGATTCTCAAGTCTCAATCTCGAGGAAGAATCGCCTAGAGAAAAGTAATCCAGTTTAATGATTTAAAGGTTCTGGTTCGCTTTCCATCGTCAATGGATAACATATTGGATGGGTCAAACTGGAATGCCAAAGGTTGTTAAAAATCTGGCTTACATACATCACACCATTGTTGAGGGCGATAAATTGGTGCTGGCAAAATAGACAAGACACAAACTAATTACAATGAAGTTTTTTTTATGTAAACATATCGTCATGATCTACAACTCTTGCATTACGAATAGGATAACATGTCATTTAGGTTGGCATTTTGAGGCGTGCCGACGATAAGGTTTTTTAATCAAATGAAAAAGTAGATATGGATTTCTTTGACTTCGTAAAATAGTGTTTTGATCTTCAGCCAGAGTTGTGTTCTAATCAAACTAGTTTACGGAAAGATATTGCTAAGGCATGGTTCAGAAGGGAATGTCATGGACCTAAGGGGTTGTTTGTGAGGGAGGATATATACCACGCAACTGTCAGCAGTTGCATCAGTACTGTATTGCATACGGTCTACAAGGGAATACCTTTTTCTTTTTTTTTTTTCCCACCCTAACTATCATTGTACAGCACAGCAAACCTACCTGTTCTTCTATTCGGTTGAGCACTAGTTTCCTTTGTTTTCACAGTTGGCTCTAGAACACTTGCGTTCACGTTCGTTTTCAAGACTGATGGTGACGTCGAGATAATAAGGGAAATAACAGCGAGTAAGAACGATGACAATAATCAAACTACTGGTGGGTCGACAGAGGCTCTGTGTTGAAAATTTCAATCTGAAGAGGACGCGATATAAGAGCAAACTCAGCCACACGAGCACAATAAAAATCTGCAATTATAATTTTTCCTTAATTTATTCGAGTCCGAACAAGAAACTCCCATTTCCTTGAAACTGCGACTTTTTTTTCTTATTTCTGTTTTCCTTTTTGCAACATAGCGAGGTGAGGGCAGCAGGGCCAGACGGCTTTTCCCGGACCGGCTCGCGTCAACCCGTCCGGCTTTTGCTATGGTCAGTTTTTGCTATGGTTTTCTAGGGGATTGCACGAGCGGGGCCGGATGGGTCATATGATAAAATGTATTGCGATATATAGAAAAATATTTTCTTTTGTGTCAGTAAGTAAAATTGATTCACTTGTAACGAAGGAGGAAAGTAAATAGCTGACAATTGTTGCTGGCATTTCCATCTTAAACTACCGCAGACACAGTTTTTAATAAACTCCCAGTGGCCTTGAGGAAAACCAGTGGCTACAGTACTGCACGACAGTCAATAAGGCACAGCATTAAGAATTGCCATTATCATTATTTTTGTGATTACTATCATTTATACATGTATTTATGTTAAGGTTATTGAAGTTTCTTTTATGTTTACAGGTGTATGGTGGCCGAGAACTGCCATTAAAAATATTCAAATTTATAAGAATTATTTTTGTTATTTTTTTTTAATTTCAATTTATTTCTCATTTTTCTTTTTAAAATAAAAGCAAGTGAAAATAAAATGTAAAATAGAAACAAAATGAAACCAAAGATAAATGAAATCAAATCAAAATTAAATACTACCCGGCCGAGCGCTGCCACATTTTTTTTTTTTTTTTTCTTCGCGGTCGGAAAAAAAATGTTCGTGGCCGAACGATGCCTAATGGCCGAGAGCTGCCCAACAAACCCAGAATGCTTTGCAGGATGCCTATCAAGATTCCAATATGGT